ATCTGGGCAATCTTCGTGCATTTTCTTTGAGCCTCGACGCATCCTGTTCATCAGCGCAGGCGAGAAGTCGACTTCCTCGCGCGGGACTTCCGGTTCCGCTGCAAACTCTGAAAAATGTTTGCACGATAAAGAACAGTATTTAAGATTTCAGATGGATCAACGGAATGTTTAAAGACTCAGCAACGTAACATCCCCGGAAAAGTTGGAAGGAGCAACAATTATTATTTTTTTATTCATCACTTTATTAATCACTATAGGGAAAATGAATTTTTGCCACCCAGGTTGAAGCAGACGAGCTGATGCAGGTCATTTAAAATGCGCGATTCCCTTTCCTGTGAACTGAATTTGTCTCTTAAGAACATGCTTGAAGTTGCATTGGATTACTCAAATTGAAGCATTTTTAAACTTTGTAGAATTTTTTTGTACTACTCTATTCCCGGACAAAGTTTTTATGCAATTTGATGTTTCAATTCATGAAAAAATATATCCTTATTTATTTTAACACAGCACTGCATCTTAGAAAATTGTGACGACCCTTCGAAGATTAATGAAAAGGTACTGGAAGTATTTCTTGGATTGAAACACACCACTTTTACCTGCTCGACAATTTTGCTGATATTTTATGAAGTACTGTATTGTATAAAAAATTGGACTGATTCGTGAAGCGGTCTATTATTTCCTAAATTGGAAATTGGAAAAATCTGACGACGCTAGAATTTCAATGGGATAATGGTTTGCCTTACTCGTCGCTGCTTGTGAGTCACGAAAAGGTGCGTGTAACTGGGACAACCCTTCGACAAAGCGCAATCCAACCTTCGAGCGGAAAAAACTTTCCTCCGGGCTTTTTATTTTCAAAATGGACGAGGGTTTTATAGTTAAAAAAAAAGACTAATAAAGGAGCATGTTTTTTAAATCCATGCGAAAGAGAATGAGTCGGATTTTCCGTTCCGTTTTTTTATGATGTAAAAGAGTAAAACTGATAAACCAAACAATCCAGGAGATACTGGGCATGCTTCGCTATTGAACATCGGATTTGAAAATTGAAAAGCAAGGGATAAATATTGCAGACCAGGCCTATTTTCCTAGTTTCTGAAATTCGCTAATAAATTCTCGGCGTACAAGACATGCATGCCGATTTGACATGGCTGAAAATCGAAATTTTTCAAATCATAATTTTGTTACAAAATAATTTAATAATAAATATAATATAGGAGCATTTTAACTTAATGTGAGCCAAACAGAACTCCCCGTTCATTATTTGCACCAAAAAGTAATTATTTATAACAGCTTGCATCAATAATTTCGTAATACAGTATTTTCTTCAAGAAATGTTTATCCTCATACCACGCGCACCCCGCTTTTCTGCGTTGATGCAGAAATAAGGTGGGCGGTGCAGTTGAGATATACGGTGATCGCTCACCAAGGATGCTTTATTTTAAAATGGATTCATAAACAATTTCGAATGTATAAAATAAAATAATTATAGTAGATTAAAAAATTAATCTAAAAAACCACGTTTTCAAAAAGCAAAAAATAACCTTAAATGCGGTGCGCATTTATTTCATTTGTATTTCACTTCTTCTCAACAATCTCCATGCGCACCACGTTTAAGGTTATTTTTTGCTTTTTGAAAACGTGGTTTTTTAGATTAATTTTTTAATCTACTATAATTATTTTATTCTTTTTTAAAAAATATTCTTAAAATTTATTTTTTCACAAAAGATTGCATTGTCATCAGTTTCTAGGCTATCCTGAAAGTTTCAGCTTGATAGCTAGTCGGGAAGTGAGTGAAATTTGAGTTTCAAAATTTGATCAGGACAAACAAACAGACAAGAAAGTGAGTTAATAAAAACATGTTAATTAATTAGAAAAAAAAATGTTCCAGGGGGTGTGATTTAACTTGGACCTCTGCAACCAATTCAGTTCACCATGGGTTTTTTTCTTGGGGCCAAGGA